CACTGCTTTACCGTCTGGAAAGAGGTCCAAGGAGATATGCTTGATGATCTTGAGTTTCTTTGGGAATGCAACCACTTCTTCCCAGAGAATGCATAATTGTTGCAGCTTCGGCAAGCAGAAGGCCAATTTGTGCTTACAATTCGAAAGCTTGCGCTGACCTACTAAGGTGATCCCACGAGAAGATGCACCCAAAGTGTCATGGCAAGGTGTCAGCTTGTTGACCGTCAACACCAATGGGATCAAGACATATGGACATCTACTGATTGATCATCTACTTGCAAATTATATTTTTTTGCATTTAAGAAACCAAACGATTGCACCATTCATTTTGATACTTTCCAGTTCAACCTTTGATCCCGTTTCAAGCACAAGCTATTCGTCAGTGACCCTGGCGCGGTTAGTGTTTCACTGAAAACACACCGATCTGGCGGTGTGACCCGCCCTGATTTTCCAGGTTTCGACACAGCTACGGAGCCTCAAGAACTGACTGTGCTGGGACGCTATTTGGTCTTTCAACTGGTAGTCGCCAATGCTCCCGTGTATATCTAAAACGTATACTCGGGAGTGGACGATCATAACAAAGCCGTTTTCTTCGACCATCTTCCAGTGGACCGTTTCGAAGATACTGCAACGCACATCGTTCTCGGCGACTTGAATACGCCCCTCAACCCCAGTCTTGACACTTCCAAACCACGCTTGTGTGCTCGCCCAGGACGCAGCGCCCGTATGAGTTGACTAGGTCAGTTGGGTGTTGTTGATGCCTGGCGCATCCAACATAAAAAAACGCATTTTCAGTGGCCCCCAGCCGCGCCAGAACCGACTTGACTACGCGTTGTTATCGGAAGACTTCTGCAACGCACTGTACGGCGACTCCAGGTATTTTGAGCCTAAGGGCGCAGGTGACCACTTAGCACATACAGTGACCCTGCGCTCCACGTCTCAGTCTCATGGATACAGCTACTGGCGTTTCCCGGCGCACCTACTGGATTACTCAGATGTCGTGGATGCCATTCGTGGTAAAGCCCAGCAAGTTCTCAAAGATCTCAATGCTGCATCTAACCCGGACAAGGTCTGGGAACAGTGGAAGAGGTCCATGAGGAGACAGATCCAGGCTCTACAACGT